AGAGCATGGTTGTCTTAAGACTTGATGCAATTATCATTCACTGCTGTGTGCTGTACCTTCTTTTCAAAATTTGAATCATTTGCAAGAGAAACTCCCAGAAGGCCTGAATCACGTGCACCCTGAGGAACGGTGGGAGGAGAAAGGCAAAGAGGAGGAAGCCTGCAGGGAAGATAAAACCCACAAGCACAGACCATTTCATAAGCCTGTGATGATTGCCATGGAACTCAATACCTTGGCCTGAATGTCAGTTAGCCCCTTGGGACAGTTATCTGGAGATGAATCTCCGGGGCCAGAAGTTGGAAGGTAAATCAAGGTATAACTTCAAACTCTAGTCATCCTAACAATTGTCCCCAGACAGGCTATCCCAGTTTACCAAGCTTCACAGGCAGAACAACTATTTCACTGTCTTCCGTCACCACGAATCATTACCCTTTCAAAAAGATTTGGCAATTTGGAGTTTAGAAGTGATTTTTCTTTGTTATTTGATTTAGGGTTCACATAGACTAGTCCAAGACATACTTTAAGGTAATCAAAATTTCTTCTTTGAACTTCTTTTTAATAATGTGGGGTCCAAAAATTCAGAAATGTACCTAGATTTTAACATGAAACATTTTATTACATTTAATTAGGTTTTAATGTTAGTTCATTTGGAGGGGTATACAAATAATTTTGGTTTTTAACATATAAATTGTTTATTGTTGTCTCTCAAGCAACCATATGCGTTTTGCAGCTAGTTTTATGCATGTTTACAGGAAAGAGAATTAACTCATGAATTAATTTTATCACTGACATTTTGATCCTAAGCCTAGAAAAATTCCAGAATACATTGTAAAATCTCAAAGTCAGTAAGTTATGTGTGATTCTTAAATGTAACTCTTTTAGTGTTTATAATGCAATCTAAAGTTAACCAAGTGAAAAAAAAACTGAATGTTCCAAAGTGACAGAATGTGAATTGGAGAGGTCTTGACCAGTTGACAGTGATACTTACATCAAGATTTAATGAAAAGGGAGGAAAATCATGAAAGACATGTAGGAAGAAAGCTTTCTGGGGAAGAAATCAGAAATAAATAGAGTAAAAAAATCTCAGGTCTTGTGTACCACGATAGGTTGTCCAAACCAAAGATTAGAACCCTGGTTGAGAATGTTGGAAAGAATTAGTTTCAAATTATGACTGAATAAAACACGTAAAATAAATCATCCATCTGAGAGAAAGCACATGCATAGAAAGACTGCCTCCCGAGACGGGCTGCATAGCAACCAAGAGGGCTGTGGTAGCCGGAAGGAAGGAGGTCAGTGACAGTGGATCTGCACGGGTATTTCCACACAAACAGGGGGGCAACAGCATTTGGAGGGAAATCACTCAACAGGAAGATCCCTGGAGTTTTAAAGGGGAATGCAATCACAGATTCAAAATTGAAAGAGATCTGCTACTGAAACTTTGCTCTCCACATTTACAGAAAAGTTTTATAGTTTAGGGGGAAAGTAGGTTATGGGCTTATTTGGATAAAGAGATTCTTATCACTCCAAGAATGTAAGCATTTTTGAAATTGTATAAGGCAAATGAATACTAGAAGGACCTGGTGAGGGATTTTTTCTTTTCAATCTTGTATATTTATACATGTTTTAAAAGCTGTAAGAAAAAACTGATAAAGGAAAAGAACCGTGTGATATTGAAAATCCTTCACACACACACACACACACACACACACACACAGGATCACATTTTTGGCAATCTATTTAATGTAATAGTTACTGTCTTAATCTGTTCAGGCTGCTATAAGAATTACCATAAACTGGGTAGCTTATATACAACAGAAATTTATTTCTCACAGTCTTAGAGGCCAAGAAGTCCAAGATTTAGTTAATTAGTACATCAATCACTTCACATATTTATCTTTTCTTTTTTCCAGTGAGAGCATTTAAGTATCCTCTAAGCAAATTTCAATGATACAATATGGTGTACCTTTTGAATTTTGTTCCATGTGAATATACTACCTACCTAAAAACAGACAAATAAACTTAAAACAGCAGAAGAAGTCCAAAATCAAGATGCAGGCAGGTTTAGTGTCTGGTTAGGTCCCACCACCTGGTTCCTAGATAACTGTCTTTTCCCTGTATCTTCACACAGCAGAAGGGGCAAGGGAGCTCTCTTGAGTCCTCTTTGTTGAGTGTGAATCACATTCATGAGGGTTTCAAACTCATGATCTAATCACCCCCAAAGACCCCTACCTCCAAATACCATCATATTGGGGATTAGGTTTCAACATATGAATTTTGGGGAGACACAAACATTTAATCTATAGCAGTTTCCTACTGTACTTAATTGCAGTGGAAGCTACAGAAGGAATTATAAGGTCCTTTTTCCCTCAAGAGAACTGTAACATAATTGGGAGAAGGCTCAACTAGGTGGGAAGTTTAAATAAATGAAAAAGAAAGAGAAGTGAACAAATATTTACCAAGTGTTCTATGTATATGAACTATGTTAATAACCTCACATATTTTTATTGGTCTTGATAATGCTTCTTTAAGTTAATGGTTCTTAACTCTGTTTTGCACCATGCACGGACCCTTTTGAAGGTTTGATGAGAGCTATCAGTCCTCTACAGAAAAAATGAAAATATGTACATATATAACATTTTGCTTACAATACAGGAGATTTTAGGACTTGCTGTTTAAGAATGAAACTGACCCTTAGAAGTTTACATGTTTAAGTGACAACAGTCATGCAGCAAGTAAATAATGCATTTGGGGGGTCAAACATGTTCATACATACCAGAAATATCTCTCATTAACCAAACTATAAAAGGAAATATGAAGTACAGAGCTACTTTTAAAATTACATTAAACCTGATGGAAAACTATTAGAAACTTTGCAAAAGGACTTTTAGATATCTCTAGGATGTTACTGTTGTCTCTATGATACATTGCCTCTTTCTAAACTAGTTTTCCCTATTAAATATTGATGAAATATTTCTGGAAAATTAATTAAAGGTTTCTTGAGGTCAGTGTCTGGATGTTTTTTCTTTCCATTCCCAGGCAAAAGAAACTAATTCACACTAGTTCAAACAGACAAATGAATCAATTAATTACAGAGTTTTAAAAATAAAAGAAAGGGGGTTTAGTGGAATATGAGAAAAAAGGAAGTATGGAAAGCCTGGAACCAAGAACAAAGGGGGCTTCTCTCTCCCACACCTTCTTGGGATTCCCTGCCTCTCATCTCTGTTCCTCAGAGCACATTTGGACAATGGCTGAACTTAGTTTCTAAGTTTTCTTGTTCAATTTTCCAGCAATTAGAAATACCTAACATATGTCTTTCCAAGTCTCTTGAGTTGCAAATTTAATCCAATATCCTGACAGAGGTCATTTCGTTTGTTCAGCTGGGCTGTTTTTAACTCTCATCTCATCAGCTACCATGGAGGGAAGGCAGGAATCAGCTAGTAACATCACGACGTTAGGGATCCATCCCTGAGTGCCTAGGATGCGGGGAGCATTGACACCAAAGGTTTCTCTAAAGGGTCAAATAGTCAGGTTTTCAGGGTTTGTGAGCCAGGTGGTCTCTGTCACAAATACTCAACTGTTGTTGCAGCACAAAGGCAGTTTATACCCAATATACAAGCAGATGAGGGCATTTGTGTTCCAGTAAAACCTTATGGACCCTTAAGTCAAATTTCATGTCATGTATTACAATATATTATTCTTATTTTTAATCCCCCCAGCCATTTAAAAATGACAAAACATTCCTAGGTTGCAAGCTGTACAAAAGCAGGCTGCAGGCTAGATTTGGCCATTAGGTACTTGTGGGTGAACTCTTGGTTTAAAACAAGAAGTACGTTTTCCTCAGGAAGTCTTTGGGGGACTTGTGTTCCACCTGATTTGGAGATCCATACTTTCTTCATCTTGTCATGGTCCCTTCTCCAGGGCTGCTGTAGTGAGCGGAAAGGAAGGATGGAAGGAGCACTCATATTCTTAACTGTCTTGACCTAGAAGTGGCACACAGAGGGATGACTTTTCACAATCCACCGGCCAGAATTAGTCACATAATCCTCACCTAATTACATGGGATATTGGGAATATAGAACAGCAGATGAGATATCGGTGAGTAGCAACAATCTGTGTCACAGTATTAAACCAAATTGTGGCCAATAGTTTACCGTTATGGCTACCGAACAAATATATTTCAACATTGGCACCTTTGTTTATTTTTTGTTGTATAGCTGGATTTATACAACCTCAGAAAACTTTCCCTGAAGTAATATTACTGTAAAACTAATGAATATATAACATAGCAGATTTAATTAAGGTATCTATAGAATTCATTCTCATTTCTTTAATTATTTGGTAGCATTTTTGTGTTTATTTTTTTATTGCCAAATAAAATGCCAAAATCTTATGATTTTATGGTCATCTTATCATAAAGACCCCCCCCATGTCTACATTTCACTAAAAAGAACAGAAAATATTTTCCATTATGCAGTACTAGTTGCCACTCAAAATGCCCATGCAATTTCTCCCATTGGTTTACTTCAAATTTTGCCTTCTTAATTGATTAAATCCAATATTTTCAGTCTACCTGGTGGCTTAATTTCTGCTCATCTCACTCATCATCTGGGTGTATAACTATCAATTCACATAGCTCATCTCTTTATCATTATTTCTGTATTGTTCTACTATGTAAATATCTTTTTATTTACATCATCATTTTCTGCCATTCCTTATGTTACATTTCATTCACATCAAATTTAGTATTTCCCTAATCTCTGAAACCTTACCAGATTAACCTGACTTCATGGAACCTATTCCTAATCTTGATTGCTCCCTACCACTGAGGATCTTAATCATTTTATTATTCACTTAATAATACAGTGACATGCTTTTTTATATAATTTCTGTAAATTTTATTTCACCATTTAGATTTTACTTGTCTTAATGACAAGGCTAGTCTGTTTCCTATTCAACACAAAATATATTACACAAAAGTCCCTAATTTTTTTTTAAGTACACAATTCTTGACTCATCTCTAGGCTAAATTTGTGTTATCCTTGCACAGGGGCCATGCTAATCTCTGTATCATTCCAATTTTAGTATATGTGTTGCCGAAGTGAGCACAAAAGTCCCTTATTTTTTATATTAATCAGATTATAATGGAAAGCAGGAAAGACCATAACATATTTTAGTATTTTAATTCAGAAATAAAAATATTATCAAATGTTATTTATACATATTGCTGAATTTGAAAGGAATTTCTTTTTATGAGTGTTATTGAAAAAAGCAATCTAGAAGACAGATGGTCAATACACTGTGGGAATATTGTAAATGCATTTATAATAATTTAATAAGCTGTACTCACAAGAATGAGCCCAAATCTGGGGAACATTTTGCAGATTTATTAAAGATGTAGCAAGCATGTAATTTTGAAAATAAAGAGTTCTAAAAATGATTTGACACTTTTTTCCATGGATTCTTGTCACTTTCATAGGAAATAAAATGATTATAATTATTCATTTTCATATATAAAGAAGACAAGAGTAACAGTGGCATGTATTCATAGTGTTTGTAACAAGAGAAATAGCCCAAAAGGGGAGGTATGGACCCAAGGACGAGGAGGGTGAGTTAGTAACTAAGCAACGTGCTGCAGAACCAGGGGCTGGAAATTGTAATTACAAAATCTAACATTCGGTAGTGCTTTTCCAACTGAGAGTGCAAAGTATACCCGGGCTAACAACTTGGTTCCAAACCGAGTCATTCACCCTCAGCTTAGTCAACTGAAAAGTGAAGATGGAGTAATGACGTACTAACGATTACACAGATAGCTTATCAGAGAAGAGAGATGAAAAGAAATTAATTCAGGATATGAGCAAGCCTGGTGACTCAATATTAAAATGAAAGAAACAAGAAGCAGTATGGGCAATACCAAAAAATGCCTCTGATTTTTAAAAATTCTCTCAAATTGCTTCAGAATCTCATTTCAATGATTCTAAATGATGTAGTTTCTGAAAACTGGTAGCTTTCAAACATCTTGGTCCCAATAGAAAGTAGTCTCAAGTTTCATAAAGTGTCATAGAGAGAATTACTTCTGAAGGATACGTTACTTTAGATTTGCTTGAAATATAAGCCTGCTATTAAATAGCAAAACATATTATACTAGAAAAACGAAAGACTGATTTTAAATGTAAAAATATGTATTTCCCACTTTAGCATCTTTGTACTTATCCAAGTTAAAAGTACTGAATTTAAAACAAGTATGAACAAAGAAAGTAGGATAAAACCCTGGCATTGATTAGCTCCTACCTTAGTCCTCACTTATTTACTGAATCATAAATTGGATTGAACATCTTTGCATATATTAATTCTTTTCCAGTATTTAATCACTATAAGGATGGTGTAATATCTCATTCATTCACTCAACAGGTACATACTAATCTACTGAGGTCTTAGTATCTGCCAAAATCAGGGATTCTTCCACTCTCTGCCTAGAGGGCACCTTGATTCTTTTCATCACAATGACAAGGAAATTTTAGACAATAGGAGACAAATAATCTTCAAAATGTGTCCCTTTCTCCTTACTCTCTTGTATCAATAATGGCCAAAGCATATAGGTATTTCCTTCATTGTTATCTGGCTTTTATCTGTAGGTGGGAAACTTCATGCAGTTTGATCATCTGAGGCTCCAGAACTGACATAGATTTCTCATAAATAGAATTCAGAGGAAGACCAATAGTTGGCCTATTTACCCGACAACCCTTACAGTAATCCCAGGAGACCCTCTGATTCAGTGTGGTAACATCCCAGAGCTGTGACCTCATTTACCCGACAACCCTTACAGTAATCCCAGGAGACCCTCTGATTCAGTGTGGTAACATCCCAGAGCTGTGACCTCCACTCAGGAGAAATTTCACTTGATCTGTTGCTTTATTTGGAGAAATAGGCACAAGTCTCCCCTATAGAAATCTGATAGATACAATTATGTAGGATTCCTTGTCAACAGAATACCTTGCTGGAGGTTTGCCTATGATATTCTCCCTAATGGATATAGGCGGATACTTGTTATTACAGGTCAAAGTTACTTTGCCTAGCGTGTATTCATTTCTCAAATACTGCCTCAATGAATCTAGGCAACAGAGAGCCAAGTCCTGCTCTCATGTCTCAAGCCTTTCCTGATCCTCATTTATACAACAGCTCACATACCTGCAGTATCACTTTCACTCAGGCCTTACTTTGCTTCATTTCCCACAGTGCTTTTCATCATCTGAAATACATTACATATATGTACATACACATGTATATAAAATATGAAAAAATATAAATGTATATAAATATATGTATTACATTAATACATATGTAGATATACAAATATATATATATGCTAATTTTCTGTCTCTCCAGAATAGAAATAAACTTCATGAGAAAAGGACTTAGCTATCGATTGCCTAGATTAATGTTTAGTAATAGTAGGTCCTTAACACATAGTCATGAACTAAATGGATGCATGAAGGAAGGGTGGGTGGGTGGACAGTATTTGGTAGTTCTGAAATTCACGACAAAACCAATAAATTCCACAGAAGCTCTTATCTGTGGAGAAGAATAATTAGTAAAATGTCGTGGAAGGCAGAGGACCTGATGTTAGCTTGAAAGAAGTAGACAGTCAAGCAAAAGGGATAGAAAAGCATCCCAGAAATAGGGAAAATCATTTGATTATAAATACAAAGTGAGGGTGCATGTGTTTGTGATGCTGAAGATCAGATGCTGCTGTCAAGCAATTTTATTAAGTATTTGTTGGTAAGGCAGGTTCAGGCCAGTTTTTAAAAGGCCTTTGATGCTCCATTGAGATATTTTGAATTTTATCCCTTCAATAAGAGGGAGCCACTGAAGGATACAGAGCAAGAGGGAACAACATAAAAATGGGTTAGTTAAGATGAAGTTGAAAATGAATAGGGTACATTGGAGACATAGGAGACTAGGGAGATGGGGAGCAGTTGGGAGCTATCTCAATGACAAATGCACAACTGGCAAGCTTCAGATTTAAATGGTGAAAAGTGGCAATATTTTTAAAAGGATGCACACAAGAAACAGTATATGATTTATTTCCAAACACTCAGGAAAATAATGGAACCTATCTTCTTCATTCAGATGTCACACATATTTAATCTTTACACTTTACAGTGACCATTTAATAAATTGGAGTAGTAAAAGGAATTATTAAAAAAACTGACATTGAATAAAATAATGTCTGGTTTATTTCAGTATTTTTAGGTATTGTTTATAGTCTTCATATTTTATTTAGTCAAAATAAAAAACAAAACCAGATGATTATGTTCCCTATAGCCGAAGGCTTGGCAAATTGCCACAAAGTCAGGATTGGTTCTCAGATTGCCTGGATATTTGTGAAGGATGGATAAGATAAGACTTTAAAGTCTCTTTAAGCTCTATAAATCTGTGAAACTCTAAATAAAAATATCACCAGGAATTAGGAAGAAAAGGATCAAGAGAACAGACAAAACTTGATTCCTTTCAGTGAGACAAAACTTGATTCCTTTCAGTAAAGTTCATCTTTAGTCAGATTCCTTTTGCTAATCCAAGAAAGTGAGAAAGGAAATTTATAAGAAGTAGATAAAAAGAAAGAGTGCTTAAAGTAAGAATCGTGAATGAGCTTTCCAGTTTATGCTGCTAAATCCAATAATGATTTTCAATTTAACACTGAGGGCATGTTCTACCATTAAAGTCCTTCTTGGTATTCTACATGATAAAGAGTCTGTTTCCTTAGATGTCAGAATAATGAATATTAATCTGAAGTTTCCCTAGGGTATTATTTTTTCAATGAATTCACCTATGCTTTCTACATATGCCAATTCACTATAGTCATCAGTTTTATACTCAAGTGGCAGTGCATTTCATTTACAAATATTGAAGTGGAATTAAACTTTATAATGCTAAATGGGACTGATACATTCCCTCCTAGCAAGATCACGCCAATGAAAGTACTCTCCTCTTTCAGTTTTATTCTCTGTACTGAAGTAATCACATAAATGGTTGGACATCCTCCCATTCCTAACGATTTACACACATATATACACACAAATAAGTTTGAACTGCAATTGAATTATGTATGTTGTATTATTCCTTGATAATGACATCGAGTTGCTCTTCAAAAAGATTTAGAGATACACAATGCCACGAATAAAGTATGACAGTGAGTGACTTTCCCTACTGTCTTGTCACTTATGTATGGGTTCAATCTTTAATTTTGGACAATGTGATGGACAAAACATGAGAACTCATTTCAGTTAGAATGTTCCAGATTTGTAATGGGTATGAGCATCAGTTTATTTATCTCACTTGTGTATCTTTTGGAAATTGGCTGCCCGCCTAATCTGACCCTTTGTCTATTAGGTGACTTATTTTTATATTCCTTCATTGGATATTGTTCTCTATTAATTATAGATGTTAACCTTTACTCTGATATTTAGTTTATATTTAAATTTTTATATATATACAAAACTTTTATGTTTCACTTTTATGGAATCTGGGTTTAGTTTATTGTTTAGAAAAACTCTTCAGATTATAAAAATATTCCACTAGAGTTTCTTTTTAATTAATTTTTAGATATTGAATTACTTAATCCATTTGAATTTATTTTTGTCTATGGAATAATAAGATCTGACTCTTCCCCAAGTGGGTGGCCAATTGTGTTGGCACTACTTATTGAATAGTGTCATCTCCCTACTGATTTTAAATTCTACCTTTGTCATAGATTACATTTTCCTGTTTACACATCTCTGTGTCATGCTCAATTGTTCCGCTGTGAAACGTGTAGATTTCTTCTGCACCAATGCCACAATTTGTAAAATTAATTGTTTTACGGTGTGATTTGATAGTTAATAGAGCAGGAGAAAGCTAATTATTATTTTCCAAATTAATTCTTACAAAAATTATTTTGATGATATTTATCGGCATTACATTTATAGATGGACTTAGTAAGACTTCTCATTCCTACAAAATTAAATTCTTCCAATGCAGGAACTTAGTCTCTCTCCCTCACTCTTTATCTCTCTCTGTCTTAATCAAGCATTCTTTTATGTCCTTTAGGAAAGGTCTACAGTTTTCTTCTC